GTTGGTGCTATTGCCATTCTTATTGCTCGTGCTCACATTCAACTGTGAATTTCTTTGGCCAAATGAACGATTCGCACTGAAATTCCATCGAATCAAGTGAAAAATCATGGTGAAATTTCTCCCGCAGAAAGCTGACAACGAAGGGGCGAGGCCTAGGTCACGTCACACGTAAGGTCACGTCACGTGAGATCACGTATGTACGGTGACGTGACCTCACGTAACCCCGTTGCCTTACCAATCCTAAGAACGCCCTCGTCTTCAACATTCAATAAAATTAAACGAACAGAAATAACTCTAAAAATATTTCCCCATCAACTAGTCAACCCCAAAACTATTCCGATTGTCTCTTCAATGCTTCTCGATTCCAATCGACTTCCAAAAACCCGCCTTCAAAACGACGACACCAAATGCCCGGCCGGCTACCAAAGCATCCCGCACAGTCAAAGGTCAACGTACAAAGTACAACGATCAAAGATCAAAGTTCACTCACCGCAACGCACTATTCGGTGTCTTATTCGCCGTCGTATACGATACAGAAACCTCGGACATCTGGTAACATAAGTCCCGTATCGGTGTCTGATTGGTACTATCTCGAAATGCCATTTTTGTCTGCTTCTTTTCCACTCTCTCTTTTCACGTTGATCTTTTCTCTCAGATTTTTTGCTTCTTTCTTTACGGTCTCTCCTTTCTCAGGTTGATTCACTCGGGTAAATTCAAAAATTCAGAGGCAGAGACAGAGAGAGAGTATCAGATGAATAAATATTTACAGTAATGAATTCAGTAACAATAAACAATAATAGTAGATTCGAATCGACAGGACTAATTTTGTCCGCGTATCCAAAATCCTTCGGTCTTGACCAAATATTACTCTCCTGGTTGTTAATATTATGTGTCGAGTGAGTAAGGTGAGCGAATGTTACTGTAGCCTGAATTACACAGTACAATTACAGTAACTACAATACAAATTATTACTATTATTACTCGGAAATCGGGTGGTTGTTTTGTGAATAATCGCTGTGAGCAATCAACGGAATATTTATATTACTAGAGTTATGATTATTTATTGGTTTGATATTTGGCTACTTGGATTAATTAAGCAAAGTATTCACGGCGACTAATTAATTACTCGGTTGTGTTCGTTCGGTTGGCCTGCTCGCCAGC